CGCGAGATATTGAACTCAAGATGATCCTTTTCTAAACATGTTTGTAAATATGTTAATAAACATGACATATACGCAGTGGATGATTCTTTTTTCGAAGGGGGAGGGACAACTGTACATACGATTACGATAATAGTTGAAAATTTAACATAAAATACACTTTTGATCATTTCTACTTTACTTAGCGCATGATTTGAATACGTGTACGTAGAGTATGCTAGCTTTGTTGGGCTTATCTTAAATCTAACCCAGATGATACGGTTGATAACTGATAAGAATCACTTACGAACCACGGGGTCACATAGTTTTCAGGGGGAACAGAGGGTGGATCAGTCACCGCCAACAGAGCATAAAGAAGGGAAGAAAAAAAATTGACTGCTAATTAACAGGGGGGAGGCGAGGGTTAGTAAGAATATTACAGAGCCTTTCGGGGGATTGGGTAAATTTAAATGTATCCTCCCCCCCTAGCCATAAAGGATAACCCTTGGAGGTATCACTCTTGATTTCAAAAGGGAGCCTTAGAAAACCATTTTCATATAATCTTACTTTCAAGTTACCTCCTTTTATTGAGGCGCCTGGCTAAATACAAAAGAAGATCAACTACAGTAAATACTCCGTCTTTTATGCATACGGTCAATAGTGGCATAAGCGGATCATATGCAAAGGTGTTTACGCACGACACACCAGGTCTTAGCGGTACATCGGCCTTATTGATCTTCGGTAAACCGTAGATTTTAGGCTGATCTTGTTGTAAACGGCCTCTGATAGATATCCACTTCGCTTCAAGGTAAGCAGCTTTTCTGACAGTCTGTCGGATCTTTGTTGAGGAGCTGGTACGGTCCGTTCTCAATAAGCGTAGCTCGGTAGGTGTCGGTATCCATGACTACGCTAGCGCGCCCTTTGTCTGCTGGGAGAACCATGATGGACTTGTCTTCTTTTAGGCTTTTAAGTGCATCTCGCATCTCCTTCGTGATGTTAGGCTCTGGTGGTTCTGCTTGTTGAAGGATACCGTTGAGCGCTCTTCTGACAGTATCTGCTTGTTCGGTGTCGAGTTGTCTTACGGCTGCTTCCACCTTGGCGATGATCTCTGTGGCAGGAATATTCGCAGGAGTTACGGCGAAGTTCAGTCCTTTCTTGGGTAGGGCTTTCTCGGAATAGCTAAGGGACCTACAAGATAAATAAACAACCAAATTAGTTTTGTCAACATACGGTGTATCAATCGATGACACAGCCGCCTGTTTTTCTCGAATAAGTTTTTTAAACTTCTGCTTATGTCTGTCTTTGGTGATGTTGAAGACTCGTTGGTGTTGGTCTTAATCTGTTCTAGTATCCTGTTGGCGTCGTTTGTCGAGGGAGCGGATGTTATGCTCTGTGCTATAGATTCTGTATTCTTCTTTGCATCTCCCTTGGCTTTATGTGTCAGTCTGATCCGTTCCCTCAGGAATCTCATGGATGAGAGCGCAGCGATTCTGTGTGCGCCTTTGGTGGGGACTGGCGGTCGAACTCGTAGATCTTTAGGAACAACGCGATTCTTGATGCACCTTGTTAGGAAGGTGAGATGGTTGGTGTAGCGTGCAAGCTTGCTCGAGCAACGCTCATGTCGACGAATCAACCTTAGGGTTGTGCGCCAATATATCCGGTTAATTTCGTAAAAAAGATTGTGATTATTCATCGTGGTGAAAAACAAAATAAAATTAAAATTTAAATTATTCATGCTCCCAAATCTGCTTATACTTCAGTGCAGTGATTTACTGAGTAAACAATTATGGTAGTTATTATAGGTACTTCTACATCTCTTTAAATCTCAGCATGGGACTAGACTCAAGACTTTTTAAAGATCCTGCTAATAGAAAATAAAGCGCACCTATGCATAGATCACCTGTCTGATATATAGTAATAAGGTAGCTGCATATAAGTATGTTTTGACAATTTTCAATAAAATTTAGGCCAAAATGCTATCTGATCTTAACAACTCAGATAAAAACAAATAAATCTTTGGATGGAGTCAAATACAAAATATGTCTGACCTACATGTAAAATGTTGAGAATGACAACAACCCATTCCCACTCATAAGAAAATATAACATTCTTTGAATAAACAATAGCTTTAAAACTTTGATTGAGCTTTTTACCATTCTGCTCACATATACAAGTGTAAGCATTTATAAATTATTCAAGATTTGCATTCCTCCCTCTATATTCAAATTTCTCTATACCCTTCCTTTCACAACATTATAACCGTTTGTATTAGAGAGTTTCCTTACATTGCATGACATTTGTTTGATGTGATTTTTGGTTTACTATTTTGATTGCTATTTGAGACTCCTAATCTTGTAATTATAGCAAATTGCAGGGTTATTGAAAGAGGTTCACTTGTGTCCTATTCTTTTTTAACCATCCACTTGTCAATTGTCCAAAACACATATAAAAAGAAGTAATAAAATATAATAAGAAATAAAATTAAACAAAAACGAAAAAACCTCTAGTTCACACTCTTCAAACTTTTGTTCTTTGGTGTAAAGAAGATTGTCACAAGAGAAAAAGTTTTTATGGTCCTTGATGTTCACTTAAAAATAATTGACCTTGATTGCGGGGATATTCACCGCGGGATATGCCCAATCAACAGCACTGAGTGACATGGTAACAAATCGCATGGTGCCACTCTATTCTCCAAAATTTAATCAACAAAACAAAATAGAGAACATATGAAGTGGCTGGCCTGTTTATGGCCTCATGCTATAAAATATATTTTTGTTACTTATGGAAGTTAATCTTCAAAGTCCAGTTAATAGATGGTTTTTCGGTTGATGATATGAAGACTGGATTTAATAATAATGTCAGAGTCGTAAAGATGACGTGCACGTGTCTAAAATTGAAGATGACTTGAGCGTTAACTTGCCAAAATTCAGAGGATATTAGCTTTAATCCATTAATTTTCAATGATATTTGTCTGATTAGTATCAATCTACCTTTGTTAATCACCAGAAAACTAGAATTCATACTAGACTGAACATTACAATACATGCGCCAAACATAATAGCTTTGGAGACTCCACTGGAAAGGAACAAACACAAGCCGTGAAAATTATTTTTCTCAATCAAACGTGGATACAAAACGCCATCTTTTAGAACACTTATACCTAAAATTTGAGTTGCAATATCTTAGGAAGAACTAAATCGTTTGGTAAGAGGTGAATATAGAGTCGCATAATGGATTTAACGTTAAACTTCATCCATATTATAGATGAAGTTGAATATGAACCACAATTATTTTTAATAATGAAATTACCTTCAATATCTGACGATGTTGGGTTACGCGCCGTATGTAGGCCATCCTGACTGCGTGTCAGTGAGTAAAACAGCTCAGCCCATGTTCACCAGGACTAGACAACAAAACTAAATTACAATTAGCTAGAAGTCGCTAGAATTGTCTTATGACAGAATAAGCTGCTCTTGCAAAGATACCCCATAGAATTAAAAAAAGTTCGTGGCACATACAGTTAAATTAACTTCGTCATTCGGAAAGCTACAAAAAATGTTTTTGTACGAGTTGTTACTCTGTTACGTTTAACGCTCTCCAAATTATTTTGTGTTTTCCAAAATAGGGTTTTCCGCCAAAAATGGCTTATTTGAGTAAATTTAGTGTCAATTCCGCAAAAATATGTTGAATAACGCCTTTTTTTTATAGACCTAGAGGAAGAGTGACTTCAAAGTGGCACTATCTAGGCAGAAAGCACGGAAATGTCTCATAAATGATAGCACCAGAAATACTTCGATTTTCACGGAGAAAGGAAAAGAATCGTTTCAAAAGGGCAAAACTTTGTTTAATTCAAAGGACAGTTATTTATCAATTTCCTGTCAATTTCTTCTGGAGAAAACTTCTTAGGTGCTTTCAGCTCGTAGGCACCGAATGCTCTCGCCACAAGTTCGGCTTTTTTGCCTGTCTGTTTCAATCCTCGAAGTGCTAAAAAATCTTTCAACGAAGTCAGGGTCCAGTTCAAAAAGTCTTGATATTCAAGCTTTTCTTCTGCTTGTCTCGGCATCGGCAAAAACGTAGAAAATGCTCAAGTATGGCAAGTAATACCTTTTGAATAATATCAAAACCTCTCAACGTTAAAAAATCAATAAAACTAGGAAGTAGCAAACACAGAACAGCTTGTTTTCGCGCTGCAGAGTATGTTTGGCCGCGCGCTCGCCCCAGTGGTTTTGCACCCTTTGAAATATGGCGTCGATAACCTTGGATCGGTCTATTGCGTGAGGCGTATTGGATGAAATAAAATCAACATTCCTTTTCTCCAAAAAAATTTTTGCTGACATGAACTATGTCAATTGAATTGTTTATTTTAACTAGTATATTGTCATTGACATATAAACTAGGAAGATACAAGACTGCAAATTTTAGTCTCTATCGCTGCCTGTTCGGAAGGCTAAGCGGTACTGTCTATCCTAACTGCGCTTCGCCCTTTCCTCAACGCAGCCACTATTGCATAGCCATTGGGGGTTCCAGCATCAATAACCACGTCCCCTTCTCTGGAGAGGTTTTCTACAAGCCATTTGTAGCCTTGTGCTGGGAATGAACTTTCTTTATTCAAGAAAATCAAATTTTCTCTACTGGCGGACAAATGTCTCGAGGTCATTTGCCTTGAGACAGACCAGTGTCCAACAACAAAGGTTTCCAAGGCTTCCTATAAATACGGACCCAAAAAAATTAAAATGAGTATCAACAATATGATATATGCGTATTATACACTTACTAATTTCTTTCGACAGTGCTGGAACGTTTTAATTCACCAAACCTTACTATAAACTGTGCATGTAATACGCTCTCAAGGAGAAAGTTCAAAACAAGTTCAGATTATAGAATCATGATATATATTTTTGTTAACTCCACAAGTAAATCAAATAATTCAATTCTGTTGACTATGAAGTTTTTAAAACTTTCTTCTGAGGACAGTTGTTTAATTCTAGAAGTATCTTACCTTGCACTGCAGTTTGAGGTTTTTTGGGACGTAAAAGTAGCCATGCTGTACCAGTGTAGCGCCCTCTTTTAACATTTTTTCTTTTAGATTTTTCACACCTTCAGCCATTGTAAATAAAACAACGTTGGATGATGTGAGCTTACAGAAATTAATGCGGGTAACAGTACTTATTACATCATCAGGATTCTGTGAGGAGAAAAATACGAATCGTAATAAGTAAATGCAAACAACTAAAAGTTATCCACAAAAAACAGAAGGATTGATTAGGATTGTAGTAAAATCCTGCATGTATTCGTTAAAGGCGATTTTTCCCTGCCGTTCTCAGCCTAACTGGAACGTAACATGATTTTTTATCATAAAAATGAAGTAAATGTTCATATTAAGTTCATTTAACTTATCTTATAAAATTTCCTGGTTAAGATGAAACTTTTCGGAAAATTAAAACAACGGAAGGCGAAAAGAAACATAACATCTTATGCTAACAAGGGCAATTAAAATAACAATGCCTCGTCACTTTAATTCATTTCTTTCCAAGTCACTCGATAGTCGAACGGTAGCGGGAGAGTCTCACCTAGATTTTAATCTTACCTCGCACTGCTCCCCTGCTTCACCTATGGTTAAAAACGCTCCCTCGTAAAGTGGCAACTGTGCCAGATCACTTTGTTGTACGTCTAAAAGGCTGTTACTAAATACTACAAGTCCAAATGCTCCCATTTTTCCCTCTCTGAGGTCGGCCGTCTCAATGACCTCTCCTGTTCGTATTCTTTTTAAACGTTGCAAGTATTTCTGGAACTCATGAGTCTGTTCAAAATCTTTTCCCTGCGAGATAGTGAACGAATAACTAAGTACATCGACCAGTATTTGCTCCATGCATGGATTCTAAAACTGAATATTCGAAACGAAGGTTTTTTTCTCAGGCGATGGAATTCATAACATCTAGAAATGAGGGAAATTTTATAGGGAAGTTGAAATATTTAACTTCAAAAGGGAAATCGCCTCAGAAGGGCAATATGACAATTTAATTACAGAGTAAACAGAAAAATTGTCAGTCAAATAAGTCACTGAGGTACGTACTACTACATGTCAACTTACAGCAAACTGCAACAACTTTTCAGATGATACGGCGCTTTTAAATTCGTCAATAGCCTCTTCCCATGTGCTGATCTTGAAGAATTTAACGATGGCCTCCTGGACAGGTCTTAGAGATTTTACTTCGGAGGCAGAAAATTTCATCTCTTCCAGGCTTAACTCACAAGTTGCCACCTAAAAACGATGAATAAAAACAAGCGGAGATAATCAGCATTCACATGTTCACTATTTTTCTGAAAGTAAGAAACCTCTCTTCAACCACAGAGCTTAAAAGAGCAAAGAAAAATTCAAGGAGATACACTCTTGATGATGATCGTGATGATCATGATAATAAGAAAATTGAACAATTGAATTAATACATCATCTCATACAAATTTGAAGACATGATACACTTGATAATGATTTGTGGGGCAATGTCACACATATCTCACCTTTTGCCACTGTCTAAGCACAGGTTTCCCCTTCTTAACAATGTCCAAGGCTTTAGCTTTCTGTCCCTTTAACTGGGCATTTTCATGCAAATCGTTTAAAGTTGTAACATAAAGTAATTATTTCAAGGTACAGTTGGAGTATGTCATTTCCAACAAAGATCTTTTTGAACGGTGTGGAACCGAATCAATGGCTACCATCCTGATGAGGAGACGCTGGAGGTGGATTGGCCATGTCATCCGCCAAGAAGCTTCCATTGCAAAAACTGCTATGCATTGGACGCCAGAAGGGAAACGCAAGCAGGGTCGCCCCAAGATCACATGGCGACGGACAGTTGAGAAGGAAATAAAGAAGATGGGGAAGACCTGGGAGGGCATCAAGTTCATGGCAAGGGATCGCCAGATGTGGAGGGAACACGTTGCTGCCCTACATGCCTGTTAGGTGTAAAGGGCATGAATGAATGAATGACAGTCGGAGTAACTGAGAGGTCCAACAATCAAAACTGCCTGTGCAATGTGGTAATCTTGTGTGGCAAATATTCATATAAGTTATCTATCAATATAAATACCTTGCAACTAACACTATGATGGAAAAAATATCTACATGAGGCAAGAGCATGGTTCAAAATTTAGTCTTTAGAAAGTATGAACTCTTCCACTTTAATTAACAGATTAAATGTGACATTGACATGTTATAAATTTGGTGTAAATGTTTACTTACAGAGGATATGTAAGATCTTAATTTATTTTACACTTCACTGTCACTTAGAATTACTAAAGGCACTGGAAACATGCATGAAGAATCCAACACCCAAGCCCTATATGCTCAAGATGGTTTATGACATAAAATCATGGATTAGTGATTATTGTGAGGAGTTACATGAACACACAGTTCCAAAGTGTTTCAAATTTACATTGAATGAGGATGGAAAAGCAGTTATGCACTACAGAAATTGGAGCCATGAGCCATGGAAAGAGCCCATTATAATGCTGAAGGTTAGCATATGAAATTCTTAATCTGTGGTTCCTGAGTCATAGTTAAAATAGTAACTTAAAAGCTTACCTGATGTTTTCTGAAGTAGCATCGGCACTGACAATTTATAGGCCTGAAAAATAACATTAATGCTCCAAATAACTGAATGTTTGCTGACATTACATGTTAAGAATATGCTGGGTTTAAATTGATCCTCAATTTAAAATGTATCTCACTGCTTTTCCCTGTCTTTAAGATTGGGACCATAATGTGTACAAGTCAAAGAAGAATGAAATGGAAAGAGAAAGCCCTCATTAATGTCTGTCAAGGAAATTTGAGCCAACAAATATATTATTAGACATGGTTTGATGCTACTCTGGTTTAGAGATTAATTTTGTTGAATTTAACAGAGAAGTTGTGAGCTTTCATAAATCAAATTCATTGTTTGTCTTTTTTTGCCACACTAGAGTTTACCCTCAGGAAAGCCAAATCCTGTGACTCCTTCCCTAAATAAACTGGACATGGAGGGATTGAAGAGAGATATTCCCACCAAATATCCCAAGAATATGCCCTTAAAAGCATCTGAAGAGTGGGAATCCTGGTTAGCAAAAACAGAGTTTAATCTATTATCAGTACCTGACAACTACACTTGGCCAGTGGATAAATTGAAGAATACTCCAAGGACTGTTTTAGCCTCAAATGGTGAACTCCCACATGAACTTTTAGAGCTCAGAGAGGAGGAGATCCAGCCTATCACAAAGGTGAATAATAATTAAAATGCAGCAATGGGCACTAAAAAGCCAAGCCTTCAAATGGTCCTACAGATATAAAAGAGAAATAATTAGAGGGGTCCATTACTCTAACCCCTTCTGCATCCAGTTATAGATTACACAAGTCCAATTTTAGATATATAACAATGTACATGATAAAATTACATGCTTCTGAGTGGCTGAAAAAAAGTTAATTCTCATGTAGCACAAATGCAGAGTTGTAACATGAGTGCAAATTACAAATAGTGCAAACACACTTTTAAAATTTTGTCTGTACATTATTAACAAGTAATAACCTAAATTTTTCTTGCAATATGGTCTACTAAGCACTTGTAAATTTTTCAAATACCACAAAATTGTACTTGCCCTTCAGGCTCGTGCAAAAATTTTGTTGTCTTTGGAAAACTTATTTGTGCTTATTCACACCAAATTGCACTAATAGAATATGACACGGTTACATAATCCATTACTTATAATTAATCAAATAATGAAAAAATGATAAGAACAATTGATAACTGATACATCTCAGTCGAAATACGCACCTAAACAAGCAAATTCTTATGACATGTCTATTGAATATTTCAGATTTACACAGGTCGTTACAGGACCCCGAGGGAAAGGGAAGCGCCTATTGAAATGGTAGACGATTTCCTCGCTACTCTTCAAGTCAGTTGCTTTGTGGCTATGTACTTCGCCAATTACGATAAACTGCCCTGCATTGGCAAGGTCCTGGCCGTCGAGGAGGACAATTTTAAGGTGCATTATTGGAAGGGTACTTACTATGGAAAATGGACTCCTCAGCATGTTCCCGACAAAAATCTAGACCATGGGTGGAAATCCTTCCTAAGAGCTGTGTAGTGTGCAGTTCATTTGAGCTTACGGAAGACAACAAGCTAATGCCATCAACAAGAAAATTTCTCAAGGAAAGATATGCTGCTTTGAGGACAAATCAATCTTGAGTTTTTTCCTTGACTCCATTCCTTTCTGAAATTGAGCTTAGCTCTTTGTGTAAAGTTACATAGAGTGTCGTGACACATGCGTAGTAACGTTGCTTTAGAACACGCATGTACTGGGATTGCGGCATAATGATTTATGTGTTGTGTGGTTGCAGAATTTAACTTGTGACTGAGTGATCGCAGAATTTCTGCGACATTCAGTGGTTGAGTGGCCACAGAATTTCTGCGACAACTTGTGACTGAGGGGTTGCAGAATTTCTGCGACAACTTGTGACTGAGGGGTTGCAGAATTTCTGCGACAACTTGTGACTGAGTGATCGCAGAATTTTTGCAACATCCAGTGGTTGAGTGGTCGCAGAATTTCTGCGACAACTTGTGACTGAGTGATTGCAGAATTTCTGCGACATCCAGTGGTTGAGTGGCTGCAGAATTTCTGGGACAACTTGTGACCGAGGGGTTGCAGAATTTCTGCAACAACTTGTGACTGAGTGACCGCAGAATTTTTTCAACATCCAGTGGTTGAGTGGTCGCAGAATTTATGCGACAGCTTGTGACTGAGTGATCACAGAATTTCTGCGACATCCAGTGCTTGAGTGGTTGCAGAATTTCTGCGACAACTTGTGACTGGGTGATCGCAGAACTTCTGTGACAACATGGTACTGAGTGATTGCAGACTTTCTGTGACATCTAGTGACTGAGTGGTCACAGAATTTCTGTGACATCTAGTGACTGAGTGCTTACAGAATTTCTGTGACATCAGGTGACTGGTTGCAGAATTTCTTTAATATCCATTTACTGAGTGGTTGCAGATTACCTCTGCATCTTTCCACGGTTGACTCATAACACAGTTTTTTACGGACATGCTCAATCTTGCTGGGGAAAATAAGATTTTTTAATCTTTTTAAGATTTGTGTGCAAAATTTGATTAATTTTCCTAGTTTTCCTAAACATGCGGAGGAAAACTATTGATTTATCAAAAAATAGGCTATTTTGGAAAATAAAAAATAGTTCGGAAAGCGTTGTTTGCTGGTTGGAATTTCTTTTCCATTGCTTTTGTGTGGGCAAATCGAAATTAGAAGGACGGAGGAATAGGATTGAAGGGAAGAATAGTGTCGCAGAAAATATTTTGGAAAAAGAGGAAAGAAAGAACTAAGGAATGAGACAACGGAAAGTGGGAAGTGGGAAACAGAAAACGTGAAAGGGAAGACCGCTCGGAACATGGATGACGAGAAACATAGGAGGACAGGAGAACAAAGGGACAGAGAAACGTAAAAAAGAGAGAACAGACGAGCAAAGAAACAGAGAAGCAGGGGAACAGAGGAGAGACTGGAGAATATGAGAAATGGGAATGGGGGAAGTGTGGAGCTAAATACACAACTCAGAATAAAACAGTCTGGTTATTTAAAAGAGAACTTGAAGACTCTTCTTCTCGTCTAAAAATTTTGGCGAAGGTACTACAAATTGGGGTTCATCACGGTCAATAAATGCACCCACCGCACAAAGGTTATCAGTTACAATCTTGGCCAAGGGAAGCAATGAAAAGTTAACAGAACCGATGTATGATTGTTAGAATCTATGAACTGTATTTAAGGTAAGCCCTCTTAAACATCGCGGAAAGCAAATAATAAACTGAAAACAATAGTCTCTTTTTAGTGACGTTTTTTTACTGTTAAAGCGTATTAATTGCTACCTCTGGTTTCTGACGCTTCGACAAAATTCTAGTGCCCAGGCTTAACGCTTCAACTCTGGCGTGATGTCAACAAGTGACGAAACAAAGACGTTGCTATGCAACTTGTCATAAGCAAATCGAAAGCTCGGTTCTTACTGAAGCAAAGTGAAAGAGAATATATTTTTGTATTTTCCAAAGATATTGATTCCAAAATGAACAAAAACATCACAGAGGACATAGAGTCCGTGATGGAATCCTGTTCTGCGAGAAATTTTGATGAAGAAGCCGGTGTCACTTATCGTTCCGCTGAGAATTATCATGAGCCTTTGGAGGCCTCACACGGAGCACGGATCAGGGCTAATGAGGTGGGCGTTTCCCGAGCTTTAGGCCTTTTTTCGCTTTCGTAAAATCGTACATTTAGCATAAAAAAGTTAGAATTTATGATCAGAAGGAGCATGAAGAAAAAACCTCAGATTTTATTTTCGCGGACGCGTTAGTAGACCTCATTCAATATGGAAGCTGTGAAAAAGTTCGTAGTGGGTTCAGTTTGAGAGAAAATCGGTTCCCTTCAAATTATACTCAGACAAAAGTGTGTCTCTTTTGGAGACGAATTCAGAATTTAGAATTTGATACCGGAAGGAGCATGAAGAAAAGAACTTCTGCGATTTTTTCGCGAACGCCGTCTTGCAAATAGACCTCATTCAATACACATGCAATGAAAATGGGTTGTAATTGGTTTAATTTACTTTGTAATTTCTTCCCTTCAAAATAAGTTCATTTTTAAGCCCGTTCAACATTGAAGAAAAACATTTAAAAAATTGGATTATTTGGCATTAAAGGTGATCAGGAAACTGACTCTGAAAACATTTCTTCATGAAGAGATTAAAAAGCGCGTGCAGCTAAAGTTCTCAGATTATGACGCCACTCTTCGACATTCCAGTATCATTCCGCTGTACGTTGATTATGTTTAGTATTCTCAATTTTCTTGTTCACTTCTAATTTCTTAAATTCAAAAATGCTATTTTTGACATATTTTCTACCAGGCTGCGAGAGAAGAGGAACAACTAACGAGAAAGATCATCCACCTCGAAACAGAAATTAACGGTTAGTTAAGTAATGACGCATGCGGGATAAGAGAAGTGCACGTGCACAGGGAAACCATTTAAGACCCATTCAACCGTAGACTCTTGACAATAAATATTCCCCCAAACCCCTGCTTCTCATTCCGTCCGAAACAGTTCCATTTTTGTAATATTTTCCCAATTTACCTTATCATTCAAAACTTGAATTTGATCTATCTTTTACTCTAAGTATTTATAAAATGGACGTTTATTTCTTGTATTTTAACAGCTAAGGAGAAGGAGATCACCTTTCTTAAAGAAGCTCTCTTTGAGAAAGATAAAGAGAATTCTGATCTCAAAGAAAAACTGTCCCAAGTACAACAAAGCTGGCAAAGAAATCAGTTGGATTTTGCCAAGCAAATGGCGGCAATGGATGAAAAGCTACAGGAGGCAAGGAAGACTATCGACGAGCTCAAAGGTGGGGCAAATGTTAGTGTCATGAGGAAGGCAACAAAGTTAGAGGAATCCCAAGGCGAGCTACAATTTTTTAATGGTGAGTATGTTACTTGAAATGGCAATTCTATGGCCAAAGTTAGTCTCCAAGCATACGCTGGGTAACATTGATGGGAAGAGGACAAGGGGTCTGCACTATCGATCACAGTGACACTGATTCACAGTTTAGAAAAGATAAAAAAACAAAACAAAACAAAACCTCAGAACAAATAATACACCTATAGGTAAAAATCGCGGCTCATGCCATCGGCGAAGTGACCTAGTCACGTACCCAGACCTTTCATTGAAGTTACAGTTAAACGGTAGGATCTGGGACGAGATTAGAAGTCCTGAAAATAAAGTATGTACCACATGTGAGTAAAGTCACAAAAGTTTCATTTCCCATCCTCAAGGCAAGAAGAGGCACTTAACCCCAAAACTTGAGAATCGTTGATAACGCTTTCGTCCATGAACAATTATTCAAAACTTTCTCTTTATTAGGCAAGGCTTACTTTGACCCTCAACCATCATGGTTTGACACTCTATCTAACAACGGTGGATGTCTCGAAATTCAAAACTTTCCAGTAACAGCAAGAGAACTTGAGGCCATGAAGAATGATAAATCAAATTCAAAGCCCTCCACTGAAGCAGCCCAAGGTATGAAGAAGGAAACTTGTGTAACACAATTTCGCAATTTCAACAGCCCAACTTTTATTTTGCTGAAGTTGGGTGGTATGAGGTGTAACCAAAAACAAGTAAACACTCGAATTATCAAGGTACCGAATCGCTGTACGAACTTGGCTGAGTACTCACTTCATCATATTCAGAGAAGAACTGGCTGATCTCATAACTAAAACACAAAATGAGATTTCAGGAAGAATACGCCATCAGTACTCTACTCTTAGCAAGAGACTATAGTCTCTTTACTACCGCTGAATACATAGGAAAAATATGAGGTGGTCCAGGTTCATAATTCGCTTTGCCAGTCTGAAAATGACCCAAATAAAACTTGCTCTTGCACTTCTTTTTTTTCACTACAGACTCTCCTGAATTGAAATGTCAACCACCATTCGCCCCCGATAGCAGTTTTGTCAGAGCTGTAATAAAGGAAAACCCTACACCACCCCGAAGAAGAGATGAATTCAACCTGATAACTGGTTCCGTTGGTCAGAGTGTCAACCCGTTTTCTAGGAAGGCAAAACGCTTGAACCGACCAGCACAAAGTCCTGTGAATATGTTTGAGACGCCTGAAGTCGACAAGTGTACCCCGCCAATAGCAGCAAGGCATCCTGTATCTAACATCACCATTCAGTCCTCTGGCACACGGATTAAATCATTTTCCAATAATGCCGAGGCGCTGGATCGACGAACGCTCAATTGCCCAGCCGCTAACATAGCAAGAACTGAAGTTGAGAATAACACTCCATCAGTTCAACTCAGTGGGGTTCCATCCAACAATATCACTAGTTCTTATGGTAAGAGGGTAAATCCCTTTTCCAAGAGAGCTATCGGCGTTACGAAACCATCACACATCCTTGCGGCCAGATTGTTTCCAGCTCAAACTGTCAGAAACAGTGAGACAATTTCCTCAAATGATGCTGTGTTCAAGAATACAGTATTTAATACTACCACTCAGTATTCAAAGGGACAGATTAATCCATTGTCAGCACTTGATTGCCCTGCTGCTAACTTGAGAGGAGCTGAAAATGAGAATAACACTCCACCAGTCCATCTCAAAGGTGTTCCATCCAACAGTATCACAGATAACAAGGTGAATCCCTTTTCCAAGAGAGCTAAAGGTGTTAAAAGACCACCACATACCCCTACACCCAACTTTGCTGAAGTCCAAACTGTGAGAAACAGT